ATTTCCTCCGACGACCCCCCTTGAAATTTTGTGAGGTGGTAGGAGAACGCCTTGGGGTGTCACAAAAAACTCGCCATGTCCGGGAAAAATCGGGAAATGGGTCAAAACTGACCAGTCGTATTTCCCTATATAATCTTTGTATTTTATGGGAAAAACAGAGGGTCATTTCAACGCAGGCTTTAGGGTACTTAAGCTCAGTATATCTGGCTATTTTTTTGCATACTCTTAGGTCAATGGCTTGACCTTTAGGGAAAACTGTCGGTTTCACTCAAAGCCCTCGACGAGGGCTAAAAAGTGACCGCGAGTGAAATTCTCTTTATATGAGCTCTATTACGAAAAAAAATTTCCTCCGACGACCCCCCTTGATATTTTGTGAGGTGGTAGGAGAACGCCTTGGGGTGTCACAAAAAACTCGGCATATCTGGGAAAACTTCGTAAAGCGGTCAAAACTGACCAGTTGTATTTCCCTATATAATCTTTGTATTTTATTGGAAAAACAGAGGGTCATTTCAACGCAGGCTTTAGGGTACTTAAACTCAGTATATCTGGCTAAATTTTTGCATACTCTTAGATCAATGGCTTGACCTTTAGGGAAAACTGTCGGTTTCACTCAAAGCCCTCGACGAGGGCTAAAAAGTGACCGCGAGTGAAATTCTCTTTATATGAGCTTTATTACGAAAAAAAAATTCCTCCGACGACCCCCCTTGAAATTTTGTGAGGTGGTAGGAGAACGCCTTGGGGTGTCACAAAAACCTCGCCATGTCCGGGAAAAATCGGGAAATGGGTCAAAACTGACCAGTCGTATTTCCCTATATAATCTTTGTATTTTATGGGAAAAACAGAGGGTCATTTCAACGCAGGCTTTAGGGTACTTAAGCTCAGTATATCTGGCTATTTTTTTGCATACTCTTAGGTCAATGGCTTGACCTTTAGGGAAAACTGTCGGTTTCACTCAAAGCCCTCGACGAGGGCTAAAAAGTGACCGCGAGTGAAATTCTCTTTATATGAGCTTTATTACGAAAAAAAAATTCCTCCGACGACCCCCCTTGATATTTTGTGAGGTGGTAGGAGAACGCCTTGGGGTGTCACAAAAAACTCGGCATATCTGGGAAAACTTCGTAAAGCGGTCAAAACTGACCAGTTGTATTTCCCTATATAATCTTTGTATTTTATTGGAAAAACAGAGGGTCATTTCAACGCAGGCTTTAGGGTACTTAAACTCAGTATATCTGGCTAAATTTTTGCATACTCTTAGGTCAATGGCTTGACCTTTAGGGAAAACTGTCGGTTTCACTCAAAGCCCTCGACGAGGGCTAAAAAGTGACCGCGAGTGAAATTCTCTTCATATGAGCTTTATTACGAAAAAAAAATTCCGACGACGACCCCCCTTGATATTTTGTGAGGTGGTAGGAGAACGCCTTGGGGTGTCACAAAAAACTCGGCATATCTGGGAAAACTTCGTAAAGCGGTCAAAACTGACCAGTTGTATTTCCCTATATAATCTTTGTATTTTATTGGAAAAACAGAGGGTAATTTCAACGCAGGCTTTAGGGTACTTAAACTCAGTATATCTGGCTAAATTTTTGCATACTCTTAGGTCAATGGCTTGACCTTTATGGAAAACTGTCAGTTTCACTCAAAGCCCTCAACGAGGGCTAAAATGTGACCGCGAGTGAAATTCTCTTTATATGAGCTCTATTACGAAAAAAAATTTCCTCCGACGACCCCCCTTGATATTTTGTGAGGTGGTAGGAGAACGCCTTGGGGTGTCACAAAAAACTCGGCATATCTGGGAAAACTTCGTAAAGGGGTCAAAACTGACCAGTCGTATTTCCCTATATAATCTTTGTATTTTATGGAAAAAAACAGGGTAATTTCAACACAATTTTTACGTTACTTAACCTCTGAACATCATGCTAATGTTTTGCATACACTTCTATAGATGACTAGGCCGTATGGAAAAACTGTTGGTCAGACTCAAAGCCCTCGACCAGTGCTAAAAGATGACCGCGAGTGAAATTCTCCTTATATGAGATATATATAAATAATTTGACGATCGATCCCGTTAATATTATTTGAGGTCGTAGACCGACCCTGGAGGGTAACAAAAAACTTTAATCCCGTCGGAAAAAGCTATTGTAGTCGTTAAATATGTTTATATATCGTATTTTCTTATATAAGCATAGTAACTGTTTGTTTTAAAAAAAAGTAAACACAGAGATACGTCATTCGGTTAATTTCCAAGGGAGGTAACCTTTTTAAATAATTATTTTTCAAATAATTGTATACTATTTTAAACAGAAACAGAAAACGACAAAGTATAGCATTTGTTTTAGATAAAAATTAGTTATTAATTAAGCTACGTATCATAATTAAATAAAAAATTAATTTTAAAAGTCAATGTAATATAAATTATGAGATATACTGTTCATGGAACCTCTGTAGTTCTATTTCCATTTTAGTTATAAATTGCGTACTTTCGAACATTTTCTCTGAAGGCTGATGTTAAAGAGCACAGGCCTACAACATCTTCTCTAAAATTAGCATTACTGTTTACATTTAAGCACTCCACGCCTCATCCATCACCTAATAATTACTATTCAAATTATCAAATGATTTGAAAACCTAAGCGAAGCTAGGCAGTATGCCTAGTATATATATATATATATATATATATATATATATATATATATATATATATATATATATATATATATATATATATATATATATATATATATACATATATATATACACTACCCCCACACTATATACTATTTACATCAATATTTCAGTCAGTCTCCCTCGCCAGTATGTGTAACTGATAATACTAGCCATAAGAAGGTATGTTTACAAACAGCCGTCTCTACCTGTAATAAACTGACTTCATTTTCACACCACAAGTTTTGAGCAAGAGACCCCCCCCCCCCTTAGCACGCAACGAGTGCACAACATAACAGGAGTTTACAACAGCAAACAAAGGATGTCACTGAGCGCTTCTTGTGTGTCATGCGCATGACATGACATGCTGTCAGATGTCATGTTACGCTTCTCTGGTGACATATCCTGGTTTGTCCGTGATTCGTTCCCGTCCTGTTGTTTGTATTCAGCCGATGGATGAGGATGTGGGTCGACAATTGTACCTTGTAAACAATTTTAACAGAATGTTCCTAAGAGATTCCTTGACATTTTAACTAGACCGTGATAAATCTTAAGCGTAATTTGTTTCATTCACAAGAAGCTAAGTCTACTTAAAGTCCCATTTACAAGAGAATAAAACTACTTCAAGTCAAATTTATAAAACGTTAAGCCTATTTTAAGTCCCATTTACAAGAGAATAAAACTACCTCAAGTCAAATTTATAAGACGTTAAGCTTATTTTACGTCACATTCATAAGAAACAAAGCCTATTTAAGCCATCTTAATAAAAAATGACCACAAAGCTTCTTTCAAGTTAAATTTACAAAAAAACTGCCTATATTAAATCACATTCACAAGAATCTAAGCCTACTTTATATCACATTCACAATAATCTAAGACTATTTTAAATCACATTCACAAAAATCTAAACCTATTTTGAATCACATTCACATCCTATTTTAAGCTAACAAAAAAAAAGACAAAGAACAAGACAAAGTTATTTAGAATCAGATTTACCAGAGACTACAATTATATCTGTCCTCCCAGTTGGAACCCCAGTAAAATAAATGAATGTTAGAGGAGCGATGATATGTTCCTTTGGTTAAAAAAAAATTAGCCACAGTGATATGTATCGATCTAAATTTTTTCCTAGACGCCTAGCTTTTATGTTAATCTTTTCATCATTTTACGACGACAGGTAATGGGATTAACGATTTTAAAGGTGACTGGAGTAGATTTAATGACAAATTAATTATGACGAAATATACCTGAACAAAATACCTGTGTGTATTACACAACTACACAGCTACACTGCTACACGCAAACACACTATTTACCACTTTAATATGTATTACCTACATATACACAAACACTCTCTCACACGCAAATACAAACATACACACACACACACACACGAAAACACATGGTTTTAAAAGAAATAATTTCTTTACTTACTTTTGAATTCTTCAATTTTTTTAACACAATATTAATTACTATATATATATATATATATATATATATATATATATATATATATATATATATATATATATATATATATATATATATATAAACATATATATATACATATGTCCCAGTTAGCCTCGTAAGATAATGGATTCGAGCTCAGAGAAAAATGAGATGTCATTATCTATTATTGTATCCGGCTCTGGTGTAGATGATCATGCCAATTTTAGGCGGCAATTTCTGCCGCAGTTGGAGCAGACGATTGTAGTTGGTACAATTCGGGCAGATGTTTTCCTTCTCCTCTCAATGGCTACCTTGGCCCTTTTTCCTTCAATGATGAGGGTGCCAGTCCGTACGGTCTGTCTCCACAATGTTGTCTTGGGCCAGCTACTCCCAATTAGTTCATTAGGTCTGTTATCATGAGTATCTGTTTTGAATAGAACCCACCAGACCTACAATGGACGTAGACTCCATTTTTGTTAGACTCAAAAGCTAAGCTCAAAACACCGGTGAAAAGAATGCCAAGAAGTGTAGCGTTACCATACATTCCTACTAGATTCCAGTCTTGATTTGAAAAGATTTATATGCTGAGCCATCAAATATGACAATATCCTGCATATTTTCGTACAAAGCAGACACACTTATCAGCAGTTTAGGGAGGGGGGGGGCAATTCTTTCCAGCACCTTAATCACTCTCCATTGGCTACAACGAAAGCCATCGTTATATCAATTAAAGCAATATACAGTGACCGCATTTGCTCTCTGCACTTCTCTGGTAACAACCTGAATGAAAGTATCATGTCTATACTGGATTTTTCTGCCCTAATTCCGCAAATAGTATACAATCACATAAAGATGTGATTAATTTAAAAAAAAATTCTTCTTATATTCAGGAGAAGACAAATTGCAGAATCAGCAGATTTCCTTTAAACACACACTACGTGTTTTACGTCAAAGCCATTTCACTAGGAGGACAAGGGCTAGAAAGTCTAGTCGACATATGGACAGGTAAATATCTCTTTTTAAAGTTTTAATCACCTGGGTACATACGAACCTTAACATTAGTAGGACAAGGGCTAGAAAGTCTAGTCGACATATGGACAGGTAAATATCTCTTTTTAAAGTTTTAATCACCTGGATACATACGACACATGTCACTAGGAGGATATGTTGTTGATGATGTGGTAGGTGGATGTAAGACCATATGGTTGATGATGTGGTAGGTGGTTGTTAAAGCACGTTGTTGATGATGTGGTAGGTGGTTGTTACAACACATGGTTGATGATGTGGTAGGTGGTTGTTACACCATGTTGTTGATGATGTCGTAGGTGGTTGTTACACCATGTTGTTAATGATGTGGTAGGTGGTTGTTACACCACGTTGTTGATTATGTGGTAGGTGTTTGTTACTCAAGTTGTTGCTGATGTTGTAGGTGGTTGTTAAAGCACGTTGTTGATGATGTGGTAGGTGGTTGTTACAACACATGGTTGATGATGTGGTAGGTGGTTGTTACACCATGTTGTTGATGATGTCGTAGGTGGTTGTTACACCATGTTGTTAATGATGTGGTAGGTGGTTGTTACACCACGTTGTTGATTATGTGGTAGGTGTTTGTTACTCAAGTTGTTGCTGATGTTGTAGGTGGTTGTTAAAGCACGTTGTTGATGATGTGGTAGGTTGTTGTTACACCATATTGTTGATGCTGTGGTAGGTGGTTGTTACTACACGTTGATGATGTGGTAGGCGGTTGTTACACCATGTTGTTGATGATGTGGTTCGTGCTTGCTAAAGTACGTTGGTTATGTGGTAGATGGTTGTCAAAACTATGCTGCTGATGCAAGCACTAGTTATCTGATTATTTAGATTGTTGATGTATGTGGTCTCCACTAGAAGTTTGATTAGTTAGATTGTTGATGTATGTGGTCTCCGACTTAGAGTATGATTATTAAGATTGTTTTTATTTAATTTTCTAGTCTTCAAGTCACCGCAAGATACAGAGAATTCAGGTAAGCAGACCAGAGCATCAGGTGTATGCATTCTTTATTGCTTTTCTCACCCCCCCCCGTCCCCAATTTACGTTCCCCCTTCATTGCAAGATAGCGTATCGATTATTCGATTTCTGCCGGTATTGCTAGTAAGTTAAGGTATAACATTTGTTTTAATATTGGTTTTGGTTTAGTATTAGAGTTTGGCTTTGATCTAGTTTTCGTGTAGTTGTTCAAAACTTTGGTTTAGATTTTGGCTAGGAAAAGGAATAGATTAATATATAATCGGAGCTATGATTATCGAATAGCGCTACGATACCAGGAAAAATAATTTAGATACCACAATGCTGAAAAACATTAGACTGCCCTTCTTCGTGAGTCAAGGTATCGCTTATTTTTGTATGCAGGTATCTTACAATTTGATAACAAATTTGACAAATATCTCAGGTGCTTAGATTCAAGGTTTTAAAGTTTACTGTAACAAATAAATATCAAAACGAAGATTTCAAATTTAACTAACATGTATGTCGTTCCCTGCATTAAGGTTGTTTTTTTGTCTTCGTGATTGTATTACATTTGTTGCACAATAACGAATTTAGACTGAGTTTTGGCTTCATGATGCCTTATTCTAAACTAGCCAATGACGACGTTCACACAATATCAATACAGTGCGGGATATTGTCAAACATTTCTTACGATTTTCAAACGTATTCAAGAGAGAAATAAATGTGATACATGTACTATAATATACCCTGCCAGTCGTTATTCTGGGTCGGTCAATACTGACACCTTCCTTAAACAAAACAGTCGCGGTGTCAAGTCTTTCAGGTTTGACGTTAGTTTTCTGTTCGCCGGTCAAAAGCAGGAATTTAATAACATAATTACACCAAGTAAATTCCATTCCCGCTAGAATGTTTCATCAGATCAGATTTTTTTTTCATCTGAAAGACCCCCCCCCCCCCTCCCCACCTACCTCACTCTGATATTGGATTTTTCTTAAAACCAATAAAATACAAGTAATAAATGAGCATCAAGGAAGTTATTGAACCTTTTTCATATTTTTTTTTAAAAATAAGAATTTTTCTACATCGTTCCTCACTGACCTTTTTTGTGTTTTGCTTAAATGATCTCGAGTCGATACTCGGGTTTTTAACCCGGATGTTTAGCACATTAGTGCGTTTAGCAAGCCTGGTGTGTGTTCAGATAAAAGAAACTGGCAATTACAAGATTAAAAATAGACATTCTCCGCCTAGTGTCAGCAAGGATGTGAAGAACTGCTCCAGGAATTCGAGTTAACCTGTGTTTTAGTTGCTTCCAGCGATATTCTCTGTTGCCAAAACATTTTAAAGACTTTGATCGCGGCGGTTCTGTTTGAGATGTGGTTTTTGAAACGTTTTTGTACACTAATATGTTAGACGTTAATTCTTAAGTAGGTTAACAGGCAAAGATTGATGACGTTCTTTTGTAATAAAAAAACAGAGAAAAATTCCTGAATAATTTGTTTATTTACAATCAAAATTACACACACACACACACACTCACACACAAACACACACACACACACACACACACACACATATATATATATATATATATATATATATATATATATATATATATATATATATATATATATAACAGAAGATAAAAGAAGATAAACAATTACACATACATAAAAGAAAGGAAGCAAAAGTGATTTTATATAAATGTATATAACTATTTGCACACACTCACAAACACACTCACACACATACACACATACACACAGACAGAGCATTAAAATGTAAACTTGATATCAGTTTACTTTTTTTATCTCACTACCCATGTGATACTTTCTTTGTTCGTCCATCCTAGATATAGGGAAGCCCGAGAACAATATTTTATCCACTTCTAGATTCCACTTCTACTTCTGTCAAAGCGATATTTTTAAAAAAGCTAATACGTAGTTTAAGATCATATGACAATGTAATGTGACATGTTTAATTACATTTTAAAAAAATGTACTTATAGTATCCCGCTTGTACACACACATTCAGTGCAATAAATTAGTTCGCATTTTTTTAGTCTTGCTTATCAAAAGTAAAATATATATCTATAACCTTATATAAAAAACTACAGTAATTTAATTAGTAGCGCATTATTATAGTTAAAGAATTTTTTTTTTACATTTTTCTTCTTCATACATAAAAGCTTTGTTTATTGCGTTTTTGAGCATCTTATATATATAAATAAATAAATAAATATATATAAATATATATATATATATATATATATATATATATATATATATATATATATATATATATATATATATATATAACATAGTTTTGACAAACACAAAATAACATATCTTAGAGTTGTCCCTGGCTGAACTAGTGCTGTGTGTCACCATCATTCCCGTGTCTCTGGCCATCACTGGGGTGGCCCTGTGTGTCATCTACTACAAGAGGCTGAGGAAGAAGGTCAAGCGAGTGGCCATCAGGGACCTCAACAAGAGGCTGGGGTTCAGAGACCCAGGGTTGAGGGTCTCCATCGGGAACTCTTTGAGGAGGGAGGTAAGTCTAGCGGGTTGCCGGCTTGGGGGGGGGGGGTAGTTAGACCAGTAAGTAATTAATTTGATAGGTAGAAATAAATGGTTGACAATTTTCAGGTTGTCAGGTTGGAGGTATTAACAACGAGAAGGATAAATCGATGGTTGGTGTTTGATTTTGGAATTAGCCGAAATTTTCGGGTTGGTGTTCAGTGTGGCGTTGATCGGGTTGACAATTTTCGGGTTGTCAGACCTGTTATTAATTTCGTTTATAAATTGCTAAACAAAAAAAGAATTAAAACTAATCTATATCACACGTAATTACTGGAACATAAAACATACGTATCAGTCGGATGCGAACAATAATACGGCAAGCTTTAATGCAGGAAGAACAACGAAGATTTGTTATAGGATGTAAGGTCGAGTTAATTTGTGGCCTTCCTACAGGTAGTTCTCATTAGCAGCTCGGGTTAGACGTCCCTTTAATAACTTGACATGTCAAAGCGATTAATTACGAGGGCTGTTGCTATTGATTTATTATTAGCCGGTGATGTCAAAAGCCTGCTCGCAAGGTTGTGTCTGAAGACATTTTATCACGTAGTCGCCTCGTCTTAGTTTCGTGGCGGTCTAAAATTCAACGAACTCTCTGCTCCGGTATAACAATAACCATCCCATAATGTCGTTAATTTATGCCATGTGACGGTTCAAAAGTCAACGAGAATTATGTTTACGGGCATTAAAACATGTATGTTAAAGCCATACATGTCAATGTCGATCAACAAACCCCTCCCCTGCATCAAAATAACCATACCATGTCATTGATTTATTCATGTGACGGTTCAAAGGTCAGTGAGAATTATGTTCCCTGACACCAAAACGTGTATGTTAAACCCATACATGTCATTGTCGATCGCGGGGCATATGAGAACAAACCCATCAAGTTCACCGACATTGACAGGCTTAATACGTAACCATTAATACTATAGGTGAGGTAGAGTTCACCTGTTTCCCTTACTTGGGCTTATGAAGGGGCAGTGGTCAGTCCTATTTCAAGTCTTCTTTTGTGAACACACTCCCGGCTAACCGAAATGACCAAAGTTCCTTAAAATACCAAAACACCTGACTCAATTCAAGCATCGTACGGACAACACAACGGGAGACCAACCCTTTAACTTTCGCACCAACAAACCTACAGGAGACCAACCCTTTAACCATTGTATCCCACCCCTATAGGAGACCAACCCTTTAACTATTGCACCAACAAACCCACAGCAGGCCAACCCTTAACTATTGTACCCCCCCTACAAGAGGTCAGCCCCCTTAACTATCGCACCAACAACCCAACAGGAGACAATTCCTTTAGCTATTGTACTTCCACCCCACAGGAGACCAGCCCCTTTAACTATTGTATCCCCACCCACACAGGAGACTAACCCTTTAACTATTGTACCCCCCACTTACACAGGAGACCAACCCTTTAACTATTATACCCCCCCACCCCCAAATGAGACCAATTCTTTAACTATTGTATCCCCACCCCCACAGGAGACCAACCCCTTCTACATCCGCACCAACTCTGCTGAGGGTGGGGACGTCCAACCCCTGCTGGCCACTGACGAGTACGAGATCGACTTTGAGAGCCTCAAGATTTTCACCACGCTCGGCGAGGGCGCGTTCGGGAAAGTTCTGAAGGCGGAGCTGTTGCCTACAGAGAGGAACAGTTCCCGGTTCGGATCTGAACCCAGGACTGTGGCCGTCAAGATGCTGAAAGGTAGGTCTATCACAATGATTGGTTATTGTTTGGTATTGTAACCTGTTTTTATCATTGGTTTTTACTAGCCTTCAAACACGTTTCTGATTTGGTTTTTGTTATGTATAGTGACTGGTATTTTTATTGGTATTACCGGTCTTAGGGCAAGTTTTCGATTTAGTTGTTGTTAAGTATTGTAACTGTTGTTTTTGTTGGGATTAGCTGGTCTTAAAACTTATTTTTAACTTTGCCTGCTGTTGGCTTTATTGGCGACTTTATAATTAATGAGAACCGCACACAAAATAACTATATAAAGTAACAGGACAGGCTCTTTATTGTATCCAGTGTATATCTAAAGGCTTAAAATAGATTCAAGATCTCCGTTTCTTCGACTTCTCTAGGCCGTTAAGTATCTAATTCAGAGAAGGTAAAGCTCGAATGACTGTATATTATCTTAACGTATACCAAGGTCACAGATAAACTCTTTTTTTTCTGCCTCAGACATGTAATATACAGCTTCAGTTTTCCTTTGCCCAAGTTTAAAGTCTTCTTTCCAAATGGCCTTGAGCATACTTGCTTGTCTAAGCGAAAAAAAAATCGCAGCAAACTTATGTTTTCAGTAACATTTTTAAAAAAAATCTCGTTTCTGTCTTTAACACCATGCTATTGTTATACAAGCATGCAATTATATTTTTTACATTTTTTTTATGCCAGAGCACGCAACACCGGAAGAGAGAAGATTTCTTCTGCTGGAGATTAGCGCCATGAAACAACTGGGTCACCACCCCCACATCGTCACCATTCTGGCCTGCGTGACCACGATCAATACGCCTTGTCTCATCATGGATTATTGCCCTTTAGGCGACCTGAGAAACTATTTAAGGCAACATCGCATTCAGGTACGGGAAATCTCAAGGTGTTTTGTAATTTAACGAATGGTCTACTTATTTCAGGAATCGGATACGACTGTCAATTTTATTTTAAAAGTGAAGGGTAATATCTAGTTTAATGTGAATAACAAATCCCAAATCGATATTAATTTCCACTAAAAATTAGAGTAATTTCGTTACGGGGGCGAAATTTGGTTTACTGATTTTAATTTTTTCCTTTAAAAGGATATTAATTACAGAGTATGAGAAAGATATTTTTACGTATTTGCAAATATAAGGCTAGGCATATTGCAATATTGTGTTTGTTTGTGCAAACGAAATAACTTGACGTGGGCGTTTAATTAACTACATAAAAATAAAAAATAATTATCTTTTAAAGTAAAGGTCATGCGTTAATTACGTCAATCACCCGGACAGAACGAACGATAGGCACCGTGGGTGGACTCAAGAAATATGACGTAGAACACAAGAAATGCCATGTAGAACACAAGAAATACAAGCTAACTCATAAGATTTATGACGTAACGTTTTAAAAATAATTTCGCAAGAACAGAATCTGATGAGCAACATTAATTTTCGTTAGCTTTAGTTTTATATGCGAAGTGGGCGGTTTTGGAAATTGGGGATGTTATTTTAGTGAGGATGGATCAAAATCAGACATATCTGAGTGGCACCAATTTAGATATGGCTCCATTTCTTGCGTGGCATATTCCACTGTGGTCTGATGTCATTACAAGCTCATTAAAACGTCACAGGTGATGTCACATTAGCCCACGTCACGTGATGTCACGTCAGCCATTCTCACGTGATGTCACATTAGCTCGCCACGCATATTGTGATACTAGCCCGCATCACGTGATATTGTTTACTTTCTGTAGTTAATCAACAGACATGACAATTTTAAACAAAAGTAATCCCCATTCTAAGCATGTCCGTTAAGCACAAAAAGTATTGTATCCACCGGCTTTATTTCTAGTCTCTTAGTTCAAATATTTCAAATTTTTTTTTGTCACTGAATGATCAAACCAAGACCAGAAGCATTGGTGCTATATTAATCCCTGCCGTATTGTTGCTATGGTGAAGTCCAGCAATATTATTGCTACAGTTAAACCTAGCAATATTTTTGCTATAGCTAAAACCCTGCCGTATTATTGCTATGGCGAAATCCAGAATATTATTGCTACAGTTAAACCTAGCAATGTTTTTGTTATAGTAAAACCCCGCAGTATTGTTGCTATAGTTAAACCCCGCAGTATTGGTGCTATAGTTAAACCCTGCAGTATTGGTGCTATAGTTAAACCCTGCAGTATTGGTGCTATAGTTAAACCCTGCAGTATTGGTGCTATAGTTAAACCCTGCAGTATTGGTGCTATAGTTAAACCCTGCAGTATTGGTGCTATAGTTAAAGCCCGCAGTATTGGTGCTATAGTTAAACCCCGCAGTATTGGTGCTATAGTTAAACCCTGCAGTATTGGTGCTATAGTTAAACCCTGCAGTATTGGTGCTATAGTTAAACCCTGCAGTATTGGTGCTATAGTTAAACCCTGCAGTATTGGTGCTATAGTTAAACCCTGCAGTATTGGTGCTATAGTTAAACCCTGCAGTATTGGTGCTATAGTTAAACCCTGCAGTATTGGTGCTATAGTTAAACCCTGCAGTATTGGTGCTATAGTTAAACCCTGCAGTATTGGTGCTATAGTTAAACCCTGCAGTATTGGTGCTATAGTTAAAGCCCGCAATATTGGTGCTATAGTTAAAGCCCGCAGTATTGGTGCTATAGTTAAACCCCGCAGTATTGGTGCTATAGTTAAACCCTGCAGTATTGGTGCTATAGTTAAACCCTGCAGTATTGGTGCTATAGTTAAACCCTGCAGTATTGGTGCTATAGTTAAAATCGCGAAGTATTGGTGCTATAGTTAAACCCTGCAGTATTGGTGCTATAGTTAAACCCCGCAGTATTGGTGCTATAGTTAAACCCTGCAGTATTGGTGCTATAGTTAAACCCTGCAGTATTGGTGCTATAGTTAAACCCTGCAGTATTGGTGCTATAGTTAAAATCCCGAAGTATTGGTGCTATAGTTAAACCCTGCAGTATTGGTGCTATAGTTAAAATCCCGAAGTATTGGTGCTATAGTTAAACCCCGCAATATTGGTGCTATAGTAAAACCATGTGACTTTTTTCCCTAGGTCAGGTACATACCCGACACCTCTTTGATCACCGCCTCAACCCCTGCACGGGCCATTGCGCCCCTCGACCACAAAGGTGAGTACATTCCATCTACTCAAACATTTCTTAAAATGTAAATTCTTTCGAAAAATGAATTAATTCATCATGTTTTAACAAACCAAAGCATTCACACTTTCATAATATATATCCAGAATATTTCAATTATATTTTAAACTGCTCCACCAAATGTTTGAGCTGTGAAGGTTCTTATATAACCATCCATACTATTTAAGCGAAAGGATTCGGGTATTTGATGTAAAGTTTATTCACTCATAGCTTGGCACTTTGGGTTGGGTCATACACACAATATTTCTTTCTTCCAGAATTTGGTATCATACCTATCTGACTCCTATACTAGGCAGTCTCTTTCTTACAATATTTAGACGGACTCAGACTCTAACATAAACTAACTTACACCAAAATTATTAAGACGTTAAAAGTCTTGACTTAACATAAACTAACCGTTTTCTCCATAGCAACGCAAAGACGTTACTATCTTAATATCGCGTCATGATTCACTGCATTAATTATTCAGTCGCACTCAAATTCAATCACAAAACACACCTTATTACAATGTATTTGTTTTTATACAATGTATGAGCTTGTTCAATGGACATAACCGAGTTGGCGAGAATCCTTCCATTTTTATTATTGACATGGATTAAAAAAAAACGAGTTTGTTTAGATTTTGACATCAAAGCACACGAATAAAAATAAAAACTTAAGCCTGAAAAAAATTCAGAAATTTAATATGTTTTAGAAGCTGCAAATCCAGAGAACTTGAAAATAATTTTTTGAGTTTAAGGTTACATTTCTATTTATTTTCTTCTAGCCATAAGTTATTACCCGATGTTTCACTTTCGTAAGGCAAGCATTGATTAGCTGTACAGAAGTTCCGTGATCGATATTCTGAAAACCCCACTTCAAAATAATTTGTTCTCAAAACTTTGCCGATTACGTTTTTAAATAACGTTTTTTTTTTTAAAACCACTTGACATAGTTTTTAACATTCTTGGTTACATTTCTGTGATAAATTTAAAACAAAACAAATATTTGTTGGCTTTTTTTGTTTGAAAAAAATTTAGTTTTCAAAAAATTTTGAAAACATTAAATACATCCAATGTTTAGTAAACTCTAACTAAATTCAAACAGATTTTTATAACCATATTTATTTTAATAACATTATGTATGAATTTAATATATTTAATATAGGTTTCCAATAATTTCAAGACTATTCTCGGTTGTGCCCATTGTATTAAATTAAAATGTTATATGTGCGGACTTATATGTATCACATTGTATGAACAATTATATGTGCATACAAGTGTTAAAAAAAACAACTGGCGACCTACTCCTACCCCCTGCCAATTCTGCTGGCGTATATTTAAAAAAAACCACGAGAGAGAAGCAGAAGACACTAATCTCACGTGTATCAACACTCAACAGACGTAAAACGTGAGGCTCTTTCAACGTTTAACCTGCGGGAATCTCTAGACACGTTTAACCTATAGCCAGGCTATCACGATATACCACACCTTCTCTTAAAAGTTTTAGCCAAGAGTGAAACCCACGTATGTTTTACTCACGTGCAAAAACCGCTGAGAAATCTTGCACGTGCATTCATTATTGACCAGCTCAAATAAAAAAACATACGGTCTTAACTGTAAAAATATTTAATGTTTGCTAATGTGTCCACCTCGTTAATAACTGAAACATTCAAATAATTATTCATAATTAGGCATAATTTCTATACGACTATTAAATGCGACTATTCTATCATTATCTAATTATTTCTAGACACGAGTCCATTTGACCATTCTAGCGTTATCTAATTGTTTCCGCAGATGTAAATCAATTTGACTATTCTAGCGTTATCTAATAATATCCTAGGATGCAAGTCAATTTGACCATTCTAGCGTTATCTAATTGTATCCTCAGATGCAAGTCAATTTGACCATTCTAGCGTTATCTAATTGTATCCTCAGATGCAAGTCAATTTGACCATTCTAGCGTTATCTAATTGTATCCTCAGATGCAAGTCAATTTGACCATTCTAGCTTTATCTAATTGTATTCTCAGATGCAAGTCAATTTGACCATTCTAGCGTTATCTAATTGTATCCTCAGATGCAAGTCAATTTGACCATTCTAGCGTCATATCACAGACGACCTTGCTGTCCTACGCCAGACAAATAGCGCTGGGCATGGTAAGGCTGACCTCTACTTCAGCTTATCTTAATTAGGCGGACCTCTAATTAACATTTACTTCATTAGAGTGTCCTCTTAACTAAGCCACATTGTTTCAAACCAATAATGAGAACTAAAAATGAAATTAAAATATAAATAAAGTAGTGGTTTCTAATAAACTTCTTTAAAGCAAAGAAAAAGTTGTGTTTGAAAGTATCAATATCACTTCTATAAGGGAGAGAAAAAATAAGTTTGAAAGTACCAATATCACTTCTTTAAAGCAGAGAAAAATATGTTTGAAAGTATCAATATCAATTCTATAAGGGAGAGAAAAAATAAGTTTGAAAGTACCAATATCACTTCTTTAAAGCAGAGAAAAATATGTTTAAAAGTATCAATATCAACGCAGAAGTGCATCGGAAAGTTTTCAAAATCAATGAGGACGCAGCGTGACTGTGTTTATCTTTGTCAACGTTAATTAGTTGATTAGAGGACTCTTAATATATTAAAGACTCTTAGCGTCGGAAGCGAATGATAGCCTAAGGAAAAACGTGTTAAAAGTGCGTTTCAAATATAAAATATTTTAAGGGTAATTAAAAAAAAAATCAAAGTACATTAAGTGACATAGCTAATAAACCGGGAATGATCTCCCCTAAAGTTTCTCGAATATTCTTATATAACTTGGAATGATTTTTAATTACTTAAACTTTTAAAAATAGAATAGAATCTCATAGAAAAAAGAATTGCGCACCAAGCGAACGCCAGAACAAAATGTGCATAATAGTGCGCAATATTATTAGTACTTTATAAATTTACATGCGTTTTTTGAGAAATCGGAAATAGCGTAAATTAGTACGTAAATTAGATCTTTTACTTACATGTGAAATTTCATTTATCTATCTGAAATAGTAATCAGGTTATAGGCTTTTGAAAAATTCAAAGTAGGAAAAGTACCACTTCCGGTTGTCGGAAATCGCTCAAAAGTTAATCAGGATCTACGATTTTGATATAATACTTCTATATGAAATTTCATCAACCTAGCTGTAACGGTACTCAAGTTATCGTGTTTACACACAGACACACACACAGACACACACACAGACATACGGACAAAATTGCAAAATTATGTTTTTCCGTATCAGTGAGGTGTAAAACGATTACAAGACTTTCTCTATACTTCGTATATACGAGAAAGTAAAAATAGTGAAGCTGCCTAGAAGAATTTTTTTAAAAGTTTATTATAAAGATGTATTTTTAAAACATCCCTGTTAAAATAGTTATATTTCGTTAAATAAATTTTTAAAAGTATTATTATCATAAAGATGTAATTTTAAAACATCCCTGTTAAAATAGTGATATTTCGTTGAAGAAATTTTTAAAACTTTTTTATCATAAAGATGTAATTTAAAAATATTCCTGTTAAATATAGTGAAAATGTCTTGAAGAAATTTTTATTTTTAAAGGTTACAATAAAGACGTAATTCAAAAACATCCCTGTTAAAAATAGTGAAACTTCATTGAAATGTTTTTTAAAAAAGTTTATCATAAAGATGTAATTTAAAAACATATCTGTTAAAAAATAGTGAGACTTCCTCGAAATTTTTTAATAAAGTTGATTATGAAGATGTAATTTAAAAACATCCATGTTAGAATTATTAAAACTTCCTTGAAATTAAAATAAAAGTTGATTATAAAGATGTAATTTTAAAATATCCCCGTTAAAATAGTGATATTTCGTTGAAGAAATTTAAACTTTTTTTTTATCATAAAGATGTAATTTAAAAATATTTCTATTAAAAATAGTGAACATGCCTTGAAGAAAATTTTATTTTTAAAGTTTATTATAAAGATGTAATTTAAAACATCTATGTTAAAATAAAGATATATCGTTGAAAAAAATAAACATTTTTTTTTATCATAAAGATGTAATTTAAAAATATCCCTGTTAAAAATAGTAAAAATGCCCTGAAGAAAATTTTATTTTTAAAGTTGATTATAAAGATGTAATTTTAAAAACATCCCTGCCGGTTCCTGCAGGAATATCTGCACCAGAACCGGTTCATCCACCGTGACCTGGCGTGCCGGAACATCCTCGTCTCGTCGCACACGACCGTTAAGATATCGGACTTCGGTCTATCGCGAGACGTGTACGAGACCAACGCCTACCAGCCCACCTCGGCCAGGAAGCTGCCCTTCAAGTGGATGCCGATCGAGTCCATCTTTGATCAGATCTTCACCATCAAGAGCGATGTGTAAGTCTCAAGGAATTTTTTTCTGAAGCACTTTGATACGACTTGGGGTAGAGATGGGATTAGGAAATAGAAGACTCATTAATTAAGATCAAGACTTAAAACTGATCAGTGTTAGGCTAGGAAGTTATGTTTATATAATCTAGGTACTTTCAGTTAAGATAGAGACTAAAGACTAATTAGAGTTAGGTTTAGAAGTTAGGTTTAGTGATCGGGGTATTTTCATTTAGGTTCAGAAATAGGTAATTGAATACAAATATTGGAGGTTGTGTACATTAGGAGGTTTTGTACAACATGTCATTAAACGACAACGGATACGTTATTGTTAGTGTTAGAAGCTTAATGTTGGGCTAATGATATTTAAAAAAAAGTTACGTTGTGGTGTTATGTTTTGGTTTAGAATTATTACTAGAGCCAAATATTGGTTAGGGTAAGGTATGCTTTTAGTTTTCCTGATATTTTTGGAAAGAAAACGAACACCCTAAGTTTTACTGCATTTATCAATTTACATAGTTGCACAAAATATCGTCTAGCGTTGCATCTATGCAAGGTTAACTAAAACCTTGTCCAATAACTCGATGTTGTTGTGTTAACTAAAACCTTGTTCACTAACTGGATGTTGTGTTAACTAAAGTCTTGTTCACTAACTGGATGTCGTTGTGTTAACTAAAACCTTGTTCAATAACTGGATGTTGTTGTGTTATCTAAAACCTAGTCCAATATCTGGATTTTGTTGTGTTAACTAAACTCTCGTTCAATAACTGGATGTTGTGTTAACTAAAACCTTGTTCAATAACTGGATGTTGTGTTAACTAAAACCTTGTTCAATAACTGGATGTTGTGGTGTTAACTAAAACCTAGTCCAATATCTGGATTTTGTTAAGTTAACTAAACCCTCGTTCAATAACTGGATGTCGTTGTGTTAACTAAAACCTAACTGGATGTTGTTCCTAAGCTTGTGTCGACTAACTGGATATTGTTGCTAAGCTTGTGTCTTGCATCTCGTCCGTTCCAGATGGTCGTATGGCATTCTGCTGTGGGAGATCGTCACCATGGGAGGCTGCCCCTACCCCGGGGTGCCCAACAACGACCTCTTCCGTCTGCTGAGCGAGGGCTACAGGCTGGAACGGCCGGTCAACTGCTCCCTGGACATGTAAGCTAAACCTGTAATTTGCATGAATTACCCTCGACTGATTTAATCAATTAAACCCATCACAGAGATAGTTGTAGAAACATTCAAAATATTACCTCAAGGGCAGGTAACTCGCTTTTGGAAACTCGCCAACCAAATCAAGAGGGAGACAATTCTAGACATATCACAGGAAACACGACCGGAACTTAGTTGAGCTGTACGGCCTTGTAATTGAATACACGACGTCATTAGCTAATACCTAATTACACCAGGGCATCTCGAATGTTCTAGATCCGTTTGAAGTTTTATCCGGAACATGTCAGAGTGACCTAGATTACTGCTTAAGGGTGGTAATACACCATAGGGGTGGGAGGGGAGGATGGGGTTATTCACTTTGTTCAAACGAAAATGTAAACAGATCTAATTCGTATATATAAAAAAAAAACTACGGCAGCTTATGTAATTCACAGCATTTTGAATCGTCTAAAATCTCGCGCAGGTAATTAAAAAAAAATAGGTCAGCCGTGTCAGATACATCTGTCTTGCAGGTATGTTCTTTCACATAGCTTCAGACATGTTTTCAAGATTTTAAAGTTATATTTCCTGCTCCTTGAACCCCGCCCCTTTCCCCCCTCTTCCCTGTCTGTCTGGAATACCCCAGGTTCATTCAAGAGTTTCGGAATTTTTAAAGATTCTCAGCATGTCAAGATTACGTAATCTTATCAATTTAAAAAATATTGACCACCTACGCTCAAAAGATGGGTACACGTAAACCTGACTTTATAAATAGATTCTGTAGGCCCACGCGATATATGATTTACATACTACATGACTGCGTGTTTAGTTTAGTAATTAATTACGTCTATCAAGCACTCAATCATTCTTTTTTATTCTTTAATTCTTTATTTATTTCAATCTTTCAATCTTTCTATCTTTCAATCTTTTATCTTTCGGTCTTACAATCTTAGAATCTCTCATTTAAAAAATTCATTCATTGGCTCTATCAACCATTCATTCATTCATTCACTCATTCTTTTTTTTTTCAAACTCAACGAAAACATCATATTGAAATACAAAAACAAATGCTTTAAACAATACTCAGACGTTAAATCCTGATTAGAGGGAATGGATATGGAGATTATTTATTTTTAAAAAAATCGCACTTTAACCCCAAAGGTCAAGATGATATGAGCGATAACAATTTTCTCTGAGACGTGCCCTCAACTCTCGTCTGGTAATCCAGGGGGTTATCAGAATTCCGGCTTAAAATATTCAGGTGGTGTTCTTTACCTCGACGCTAATCTCATAGAGTTAGCTCATAAAAAAATGAGCAGGGATAGAGTCTCAAGAGGTTATTTTATTTGACGGATAACAATATTTACATAATCGTATGCGACAGATCAGTTAGAATAACCGTAAGGTGAGAGATTGACATCAGGTTATATTCATCGACCCCCACCCCCCCTTCCCCTCCCAACTAAACCAACTACCCAACCCGGCAAATAACGCCACCCCAACCGGGCAAGTTAACGCCACCCCCGACCCAACTTTGTTGACACCAATATTACGTCCTCCTCGACAAAACCACCCTCCCCCATCCTGTCTAGACAGCCCCATCTCCGGCTAGAAGACTGGACCTGCCCTGTGCACCGGCTAGACACCCCACCCCCACAAGTTCTCAAGCCCCTCACCTAGACACCCCCACCCCCATAAATTCTCTAGCCCCTCACCTGTGTCCCCCTAGACCCCCCACCCCCATAATTACTCTAGCCCCTCACCTAGACCCCCACCCCCATAAATTCTCTAGCCCCTCACCTAGACACCCCCACCCCCATAAATTCTCTAGCCCCTCACCTGTGTCCCCCTTAGACCCCCCCACACGTTCTCTAGCCCCTCACCTATGTCCCCAGCTACAAGATCATGCTAAGCTGCTGGCACCCCCGACTGGACGACCGACCCACCTTCACCCAGCTGAAGCTCAAGATCGAATCCCTGCTGGAGGCGACCTGCTCCTACATTGACCTGGCTGTCGAGGTCAGCTCTGATTACTACACCAACGACAGCAGCGATGACAGGTAACCATGGCAACCGGTGCCCCAATTTTTTTATCGTCTGGGTTATAGGATTCGTCAGACAGTTTCACTAATGATAAGCCAAAAACAGATAGATTTTGAAATCCCTAATTTGACCTCGTATTAAAAAAAATATGTTTTAAAATGGAAAAAAAAAGAAACGTACATATCAAGCAATTATATGTCCTGTAGTTGTTGTATATGAAAAAAAATGTAGTGTTGATACAATTTAAAACATAGAGGAGATCAGCGTCGTACGCAACCTTTTTCTTGTTAAATAAACTGCCTGATTAGAAGATCATATTACCTTCTGAGATGATGATTCTGTGACCATATAACCAGCATAAACTGTTTTCTTCATCTAATTGTCAATTACATCTGCTACATTGTGTCTGGGCGTCATATTCAAGCAATGAAAAAAAAAAACAATTTTCCTTCATTTTTATTGAGAAACCGACAGTTTACATTACCTTACTGCAGGTAAACAAACCTGACATTGTTGGCTACCTGCCGTCTTTTAACCCACATTTACCAGTATCGGATTTCTAATACCGTTAACATCCGCTAACAAGCATTAGCCCTTATTGTGAATGTTTTTTTCCCCTTTATACTCTGCCTAACTTGATTATTCGACAGTAATGCAAGTTTTAATCAACAGTGTGTGGTAGCCATTAGTAGAATCCCCAGAGCAACATTCCTCCAAAGTAAAAAGAAATTGCAATATTACTCAAAGGCACGCTGCGTTCTATGATAATAATAATATCCCAAGACGACGACTTCTCAGACTATAATAGTTCAAATCATTATTTTATTTCTCATGGTAAATTATTCCATTAACTAATGATTTCGAGAAAAATTTAAATAAAATATAATAATAGAATGTTATAAATAATAATTTTTCTTTTTTTTTTAGGAATAATGAACGAAAGGAAAGAGAAAAGTCCCCAGACCCAAGTGCAGAAAACTACTTTTTGGAACTTCCGTTCGCGAATAAATCTTCCCTAGATCTGTCGGACTCAGCTTCGAGATCACGTGACTCTATTCGACCAATGAGGCGGTACCCGTCGTCTAAGCTCCACGACAGCTTCGCCATGGTGTGTGCCCACTACCCCGTCTCCAAGGGTCCTTACGTTGTCGACACTAACGGCCCCGTGCCTGGGCTATCCGAGGAACTGCTCCAGACAAGTTTGTCGTCTCCGGGAACATGTTCCAGCCTGGGACGGGATACATCAACAGGAACTTGTTCCAGTCAGGGCAGAGATACATCAACAGGAACATATTCGAGTCAGACACGGGATACATCAGCGGGAACATGTTCCAGCAAGGGACGGAATTCACGCTCCACCGAATTCCATGACACGACCAAACAAGACTTCACAGAAAACATGGAAATCAGCCCCGACGACACGCCTACAGCCGGCTCCGTCACAATCCCGGGGGTCAACCTTCATGCCACGCCCCCAACACAAGACTCAGAAATCAACCTGCGTGTCAACATGGACAACAGGCCCACACCACGCTCAGACACAAACCTGCGTGTCAACATTCTGAAGTTTGACTCTCTCAGGGAGCTATGCTCACGACATACGTTAGGGAACAGCCTGAACGCCAATCACCATTCGGGGCTGGGCAATGGTCTCAACTTCAAGCACCACTCTGCCAGAAACTTAGACACCTCCAGACAAAAGGTGGATTTATTCGGCCTGCAGTGCGTCTTTACTGCTAAATCTGATTTAACGCTTTTAGTGAGTGACCGATCTAATGAAAAGGGGGCTTATTGAAAGCCAGCCATATTTACAAAGTACATTATGCAATTTAACATGGTGCTAGATGGATGACAGATTGCTAAAAAACTGTGCCAATATCTCTGAAGCTTGTTGAAATAACTCACAATATTTCACTTGCTTGAACATGGAGATTAATTAATTAATTAGCAGTGACAAGGTACCCAGTATAAAAAACAGGGCGTGGGAATAGACGTTAACCATTGTCCATTTCTTGGCTCTGATTAATTAAAAGATGTTAACCATTGTCCATTTCTTGGCTGTGATTAATAAAAGAAGACATTCTGGATACACAGGTTACTTCTTGATGGAATTCTTTTTAACATTCGGGCAATTATCAGTTCGGGCAAAAGTCCTTTCGGGAAAAACGCTTTCGGACAAACATTTGGACAAACTCCCATTCGGTTAAACGCCCAAGAAAACCAGCATTCAGAAAAATATCCATTCTGTATGAGCAAACGCCTATTTGAGCAAAAGTCCATTCGCGTTGATTTGGGCAAAAGCTCATTCGGCCAAACGGCATTCGAAACAAGTGTCTTTCGATCATTTACAGTAGACGTTCATACTTGAATATGATTGGATTATGTGTGACTTCTGTTGGTGGATTTTAAGAAAAAAATGGCTTCTACATTGAAAGGTAAAAGTGGAAATTGGACTTTAAGCTAAACATAACAAAACGACGCGGCCATCTTGAATGGCTGACGTCACTCACGTAGCAACCAGAAGCTTCACGATGACGTTACATTGATGGGTATTTTATTGCTTTACAGATATGCATGTGGTCAACCATTCAGTTTGTTTGTCGGTTAAGGGGGGGGGGGGGGGAGTAAATGGGTTTGGCAACTGATCAGATTGATTTTTACTTGAGGTGTGATCGATAAATGGTCGATATTGGCCTTGTTAAGCGCACAGTGAGTGCTATATTTAGACAGCCTCTACCATCACTCTTAAGTCTGTCTCTTTGACCCCCCTCCCTCCACTTAAGTGACAGCCTCTAATACCCCCTCCCCCTAAGTGACAGCGGACAATACCCCTCTTGTCCCATAGCATCAAATACTTATTCTAAACATAATAACCTCTTATACTTCTTGCATAAAGGACACTGATCTTGACTTTAGTACCTACAATTTGGTACCTACTACAAAGTAAGATTTTTAAATGTGCTACCAGACCCCCATCAAAAACTACCTCTTACCTTCTCTTGACTGTTTTCTTAAAGCTACAGAGTCCAGCTAAGTGTCATCTCCCCATTAATGTAACCTCCCCATTAATGTAACCTCCCCATTAGTGTAACCTCCCCATTAGTGTAACCTCCCCAGTAGTGTAGTCTCCCCATTAGTGTAGTCTCCCCATTACTGTAACCTCCCCATTAATGTAACCTCCCCATTAATGTAACCTCCCCATTAATGTAACCTCCCCATTAGTGTAACCTCCCCAGTAGTGTAGTCTCCCCATTAGTGTAGTCTCCCCATTAGTGTAGTCTCCCCATTACTGTAACCTCCCCATTACTGTAACCTCCCCATTACTGTAACCTCCCCATTACTGTAACCCTCCCATCAGAGTTATTTCCTCACTGTATTACTCCCCCTTTATACAACTCTTCCCTTTATAGTAACACCCCGTGTTATCTTCCTTTTATTGTTAACATCCCCTCAACACTCCATTCATCTTAATGCTACTTTCCCCTAGGCCATTGCTATTTTCTTATTTAATCGGTTACAAACTGTCGCTCAGCATATCTAGATTCTAGTATATGAAGCCAACAACCTTTTTAAGTATTTTACATAATCACACCACCCACTGTGCAAGATATTACTCTGATAATAATTGCTACTGGATCAATACTCACACGTATAGCAAGCTTGCTAATGCTCAAGGTAATTGCTTTGGTTTGGTCTTTTGATCTTTCTCTTTATTCCATTTAAAAATATCTAAATTTACCCACCACCCATTGTGATTTTTATGAATAGACATTACAGTAGAAGAAACAGCGAGTTATTACCAAATAGGTAAAGGGCTAGAAAAGTTCATGAACTAGATTTTCTAGTGAAGAAAAGCGAACATCTCATTCTGGTTTCAGTTAATGACGTCAGTTTTGTACTAACAATTTTTACCTGGATAAATTTGACTTTTAAATTCCAGTATGATCCCGTTTTACATTGGGTCGTTTTATAAGCTCTACATTTAATTATAATCCTAATTTTTATCCCTATTGCGGGGGGGGGGGAGGGGGGTTAGGAAAGTGGGGGGGGGGGGTTTATTGACAAGGGTGATATCCCTATCCCCGAAAATACGCACAGACACATCCTGACAAAAATAAGGCATCCCTCTCATAAAACCCCACAGAATTAAAATGTTAAACAGTGTTTCTTCCAGACTTTTTTCTTCGGGGGGTGGGGGGGGGGGGGGGGGGGGTGGGCGGAGACACTGGTAAAAGTATGTTTTCTATATAAATTCTATTTCGTTTGAGGGGGGGGGGGTGGTAGACTTTCATTGGAGAGGGGGGAGGGAAAGATGCCTGGAAGAAACTCAGATGTTAAAACACCTCTCTCACACAACCCCACACCATTTTAATATATGTCCTCACAAGTGTGTGAAGCGAATGTGAGTGGTTACAACACCAACCACCAGGTTGGCAGGTTGGCGCTTGGGTTTAGTTACAGAAATACAAACCTGACCGAGGAGTTAAAAAAACCCACGCGCCTACACGTATGTAAAACAGATGCAAATTGTTACAAGAATATTATACAATTTTAATTTTAACAAGCTGCCGGCATAGACATAGGACAAACATGGACATCGTAGTTCATTGACCTGTATGTAGGTCACAAAACACATTGCATATACACAAACATAAAAATATAATGCATACATCTACAAACATAGATATGCATAAATTGCGAACATGTACAAACATACACATGCATACATTACGAAAATATACTTGTATAATCTATAAACATACACATGCATAAATTACGAACATATAGTTGTATAATCTACAAACATACACATGCATACATTACGAACATATAGTTGTATAATCTACAAACATACAAATGCATACATTACGAACATATACTTGTACAATCTACAAACATACAAATACATACATTACGAACATATACGTGTATAATCTACAAACATACACATGCATACATTACGAACATATACTTGTATAATCTACAAACATACACATGCATACATTACGAATATAATATACTTGTACAATGAACACATACACATGCATTCATCGTCACAACTGGGAATTTAGACCTAAATCCTTCATACCAACAAACACAATGCAAGCTACAACCTCACCCCCCCCCCCTCTCCTTGCCCACCCACGTCATCCCTACATTCTTCACCACACCTTACACAACAACAACATCAACACCCACACCGGTATGTCACCAAAAGAAATGCGACAAACTGTAAACACTTTCTGGGCTTTATGAAAACAAACATTAACTCTACTGTCAGAAATACCAACCCACGTCACATCCGCTCCTGTTCTGGCCAAAAATGGCCTGCGTGAACACCACACGATAATTAAAAAAACATTTTATTTAATTCCCTTGACATCTCGACTTAATGAAGCAAACACCCTTAATTAAGCAAGTCAAAAGTCGGTCTTGTATAACTTTCTTCGCTTTATATTTCCTGTTAACGTTAGATGACTCATAAGATTAACACGACACGTGACCTTAACGGTTGACGCTTTAGGTTTCGCACAAAAAGGAAATGACTTTAATGTTTTTTTACCTTGCATCCGAGATTTAGATTTATAACACAGTGACATAAGACATAATTTGTAGTAAGTAAACTAATTAATCATTTAGATTGTAAATTAAAGAAAATTAATTCAGACTTGAAGATATATAAAAAAAAAATTCCTTAAAGAAAAATTTAAAAAAAGGAATCTTCATTTTTAATGCCGGTTGTAACTTTTACAAGACAGGCATTTAGTTGTTTTATTACGTCATTAGTGACGCAACTGTGATTAATTTTACCTTGAAACAAGAAGAATGCGTGAGAGAAAAAACATCTCGTTTAATTAAAAAACACAGACCACAGGAGACTGGTATTACAAAAGCAGGCACAGCATAGGCGACATGCTGGTCGCAAGATAAAGCAGACGGCTCGGTCTGAGCAAACGACTCTGTGGAAGACAAGGTCAAGGCCAAGTGACAAAAATAAATATAATTGCTCGTCCAAGATGTCCGCCGTTTCAACGAGACAACCGGAAGTTGTGAAAATCAACTGGGGACAGCGGTTTAAATTGTTTTGTAAGTGTGCATTTTTTGGAATATCAAACCAACTAAGGACAGCGGTTTTAAAACGTTTTGTAATAAGTGTGCCTTCGTTGGAATATCAAATCAACCACGGACAGCGGTTTTAAAACGTTGGAATATCAAATAAATCTACTCGCTTCCCCGACCTGTTCTCCATCTATAAAATATTACTCAATAAATTATAGTTATTTATTTAAACTATCTCTCATTGGGCTAAACGTCGAACAAGAAATTTGCCCGTGGCGAAACGTTTATACAGATAACTATTTGCAGACATTTAACGAATGTGGGGTTGGTGGGGGGGGGGGGGGGGGGTAGTGACCGGATTTTTACAAGAAATTTTTTTGGAATGAAATACACTTTTTGCACTGTCGCTAGCTGACCTTAGTACTCACACGTCGATGTTCGTTAAATACATCCTTGACCTACATCACCAGCTGTCTGTTAGAAGGTTTCCCACCCCCGGGATCGTTTACCTCCAGATCTTCCCCCACACTGCCTGTCTTCTGTTCTGCCCCCTACATCTCAGTCTCTATGAATCATATGCCGGCTGGAATTCCCAGCTTTCGAAAAGCATGTTGATTAGATTTCCTTAATTAACACACGTTTAAGACACATAACTAGCAAAGTGGTAGTAATCACACACGAACCTGAGCCTGTTTCTTTAATTGACACTTCCTCCCCCCGGGAAAACCCACTTTATTTATGTAAAAGTCAAGGTCACGTCTTTCTTTTTTTTTTGTTTTTTGGCCCCATATTTTATACAGGGCCTTTTATTTTTTTTAAAAATATGTCAGATCCCCATTAACGGAGGAATTCTTCTCATTCACACAATGCCGTAAGGCCCCTGAGGAGCAAAGGTTGCAGCTCCCCTCTAAGTCCTGGGCGGCTCTCTTCAGTGGGTCCCATGTAAACCCGGCAGTCCCTGCTTGGCTTTCAACAGTCCTACAACTTTTTCTCTTCCCTTGTGGGGTCGCCCTTCTTGCTTCGTGATGGTTTCTTTTCAGATCTTGTCCAATCCATCCAGAGAAGGCATATGGACTCAAGCTCAGAAACCGAACAAAATACTTTCGGGTTAGCAGTCTTACGTTCTACCATCCCACCACGCGATCCCACGCCAGGTTCATGTGATGGGTTTAAAAAAAAAGATTCAAACCTACATCCCAGTGTGGCTACTTCGATGTGCTATAGTTGATATCGACCTAGTCTTGTAACACTTACTGGTATCGACCCACACCTGTACATATTATCAGTATCATTCTTGCCGTTGGTATCGATGCTGCCATGACCATCTGTACAAATCACAATCACACATACTGCTCAGGATAACTGGTATCGGTCATTGTATCGCTCGCGGTGTTTCGTACTCGTTCTAACAAAATTTATTATACCTCATAATCATTCATATATTTAATAATAAGAAACAATTAACTATTGGGGGTCAATAATTAGCACTACTAATTAGCACCACTGATTAAAAATAACACTGTAAGCGTATGTACACAGTTTTTGCGTATTGAACACGTATCCATCTCTATCATACGTACATTTTTTCCATCTTGTAATAAATATCCATCTGCTCAATTATTTTCTTATATCAATTGTTATCATTTTTTATATATAATTGTTATTTCTATCTAGCCTGGTGAGATTTGTTATTTTTTGCAGGATCATTGTCCTCTATAACGGATTTTGTTGATATTTTTATACATTATATAATTTGTTAATTTTTTTTTCTTAAAATTAATTTTTTATACATGTATTTTATTTAATTTAATTGTGTTCTTGTTTATATCTCTTGCGCGTGGGATTGTCTTTTGAAGGATAATAAAAATTTGTAAATAAAAATTAATTGCAAAGTAGTATTAAACATCAAAGAAATAATACCCTTACGACAGTAAAACTTAGAATTAGCTTATACAATTTTTCTTTTCGTTTTCTTCAAGTTAAAAATTAGACGTAAGTTTATAAAGACAAATTCCCTCAGTCATAACCATAACGTAATAAAAATTTTTGCATGTTTAGAATGAAGAATCTAAATGAAAATGATTTTTTTTTTCGAAGCCCCATCTTGATTCAGTGTGAGAACCTTTGTTTCAATGTCAGTTTTATTTGTTTATTTAGCTGACCTTTATCGAAAACATGTTCTCTTGTACGAAACAACAAACAAAACTACATCACAACCTGTTAAGCACAACGCTTTAAAATGTTGGCAAATCTTAAAAAAATATATCCATTCTGTCCGGCCGTACAAAACAGGATATAAAAATATTGTTTTTAAATTTTCTCAACCGAACGTAATTTTTGTGCACTTTTAGACTAGAAGATATTCAACAATTACATAACTATAGAATGTTGATTAACTTTAAAAAAAAAAGAAGTGCCACTCTTTATTTCACGTTTTACGAATCCAAGCGGCAAGATAACAAAAGAAAAAATTTAATGTGTTTTTGTGTATTTTAGGAAAACAAAAGAAAAGAAAAACATTTCGTTGATGAGACTTGAAGCAAGTAAAATAAATTACGTAATAGAGATTGTGTTTGATTGAAGATTTTGTGTGAATAATTTTGTTATTTTTTGTGATAAAAGATTGATGTACATAAAAACTTTCACACAATAAACAGATATTATTAATATATAACTTGATTATTATAAGCAATAAAATAATTTTGAACAAATTTAGTCGGCTTAATCTATTTTCGTTTAGAGAATATCATCGTGTTATAGATTTTCAAAAATATTTTACATGATGTATGCATGGTGAGGCTTTATTAGAGAATGATTGCTAAGGATCAGATACCAATTGCATATAAATACTTTTCACACATAAATAAACACACAACACAACATTTATTTTGAAGGAAAAACAATTTTATTTTTTCTTGTGGTTTTGAAACGTGATGGAAAATAAAAAACTGTTGATAATAAACTGATATAAGGCAATTTTGTTATAGAATAAGGAAAATGTTTTTCTAACTAAACGCTTCATTTAGGTGTCACGGTATTAAAATATATATTTTATGAAGATCTAGACTTTTTAAAGAAAAAACCATTGGATATTTTTCAGACCAGAAGAAAAGAATGGGCGCTAAATGGTAAAAATTAACATTACCAAGGCGTATAAAATATTTAGGGACTTGTCTACGTTACTAAGCTGTGCAAAATTATTTATGAATATAACAACGTTACAAAGGTGTGCAAGATATTTGGGGACTTGTCAACGCAACCAATGTGTAGAAAACTATTTAAGGACAACAACGTTACTAAGGCATGCAACATTATTTAAGAACAACAATGTAACAAAGGTGTGTAAAATTATTTAGATATTTTAGAACCTTTCCTAGATGAGCAAAATTAGTTAGGGACTATACAACGCAAAAAAGGGAAGTAACTGCTGGGATGTAATGACGTCACAAAGGGAGCAAACTCTGGCCGTTCAGGAACAAGTGACAGATGCACGGGACCTCCACACGTTTCTTCCTGCGGCCATCTGGTCGAAAATCATCCTATTCCAAGAGAAAAAAAATGTGGAGTCTTCCCTTATCTTAGGCATGGGGTTTAAATAACGTGCATGTTTCTGTACAGATGGCCCACTTACAGAGTTCTCTGATAGAGTTTTGGTCTGTTTTGGGTGGGGCAGACCTGATCCAACCAGCCACATGGGTGGGGTGGTCTAAGGAAGGTGTAGATGGGGAGGGGGGTATACCCCCCACTTCACCCCAAAATAACAGATGTCTAACGTAACATTACAATTACCAGTTCCATCACGCTATTGTCACTTTCAATTTCTGGTTGTAGAACCCTTGCATTTCAGCTCAAATCATTTCAGAATATATACGGAGTGTTATAAAAATATATAATTTTATATGTAAATAAACCGGGAGTGATCTCCCCTAAACTTTCTCGAATATTCTAATATAACACTATGGGGGATGGCAACTCCGGATATAGACTTCTAGACATAATTTTTAATCCATTTTAATTACTCAAATTTTTAAAAATAGAATATAATCTCGTAGAAAAAAGAAATCCACACCAAGTGAACGCTAAATAAAGATGTGCATGATAGTGCGCAATCTTATTAGTACTTTATAAATTTACATGCGTTTTTTGAGAAATCGGAAATAGCGTAAATAAGTACTTCCGGTCAACGGAAATTACTCAAAATTTGACAGAAGGTAGAGAATTAGATCTTTTACTTACATATCAAATTTCATTTATCTATATGAAATAGTACTCAAGGTATAGGCTTTTGAAAAATTCAAAGTAGAAAAAGTACCACTTCCGGTTATCGGAAATCGCTCAAAAGTTGATACGGATCTACGATTTTGATAAAATACTTATATATGAAATTTCATCAACCTAGCTGTAACGGTACTCAAGTTATCGTGTTTACACACGGACACACACACACACACACAGACATACGGACAAGATTGCAAAATTATGTTTTTCCGTATCAGTGATATATATATATACATAAGGATATATATATATATATATATATATATATATATATATATATATATATATATATATATATATATATATATATATATATATATATATATATATACATACATACATATATATATATATATATATATAATATGTGTATGTATGCACACATATTTAATGCACCCCTCAGTAACAAGGTTCTGCCTCGCCTTTGCCATAAATTATCTCGGTCTATTAAATTAACCTGTTGCAGAGATTCGTAACATTTTTGTATTTGCAACATTTATGGATCCTAAATAAACTCGAGCGATGAGACAAGACAGTATCTAACCAGGGGTATTAAATCTATGGCTGCCTTCCTTGTTGCTATATTTAGCTGGGTACGACCTTCGGGTTTATATGGCTTGTTTACAAAAAAAATGGATTTTTTTATTTATGTCTTATATAATATGTAGGCTATATGGGGAAGATAACTGTATGTCACAGAAAAAAGGGGTTTTAGATGGTTCATGTGTTGTGTGCAAATTATGACTTTGGCACAGTGTATACGGGTAGAGTGTCGTAAAATCGTCAACATTTTAGTCCATGACTGGTTTACGTGTTATAGTATTTCTAGAACATTCTAGAAAACAAATAAAAAAAAACTACGGTATCTGATAATAGTCGCGGACAGCAATACCAGATTTTGAAGAAAAATATGGCTATAAGAAAATAACACGGTTTTGAATGCGTTTGTAATGTACCACTATAGCGGTATAGCGTGGTCGAGTTGTAAAGGAACTGATAGCCAATTCAGATGTCTAGAATTCGGTTCTCTGGCTCATGAATTCGTCCGTCGGGTAATTACCATTCAACTCGTGGATAGTAATGGCCGCTTAGCAGAGTGTTGAGGTCATATAGGTCTGACCATACAAATTGAGATATATGCGAGTAATACCATCAGAGCAACCTACTGCGTTATTAAGCTAGCCTGAGAACAATAGGCGTCACATCAACCCACCAACCTAGCAACCCATCAACCCACCCACCAACACCAACCCACCAATCCACCAGCCCACCTTCCTAGTAACCCATCAACCTACCAACCATCACACCAACCCACCAATCCACTGGCCCACCAACCAAACGCCAACCCAACAACTCGTCACCCCCCCCCCTTTCAACATCTCACCAACCCACCCACCAACCCACCAACCAAACACCAACCCATCAACCTATCAACCCATAGACCAGCCCACCAACCCACCAGCCCACCAACACACCCCCCCACCAACCCACTTACCAACCCACCCCCCCACCAACCCACCAACCCACCAACCCACCAACTCACCAACCTACCAACCCACCAACCAACCAACCCACCAACCAACCAACCCACCCCCCCACCAACCCACCAACCCACTTACCAACCCACCAACCAACCAACCCACCAACCCACCAACCAACCAACCCACCCCCCCACCAACCCACCAACCCACTTACCAACCCACCAACCAACCAACCCACCAACCCACCAACCAACCAACCCACCAACCAACCAACCCACCAACCCACCAACCAACCAACCCACCAACCAACCAACCCACCAACCCACCAACCAACCAACCCACCAACCAACCAACCCACCAACCCACCAACCCACCAACCCACCAACCCACCAACCTATCAACCAACCCTCCAACCCACCAAACCACCAACCCAACCAACCCACCAACCAACCAACCCACCAACCAACCAACCCACCAACCCACCAACCCACCAACTCACCAACCTACCAACCCACCAACCAACCAACTCACCAATCCATTGATATTCTGGTAAACTTTCTCCCTGGGATACCGGCCCATCGTTGGCTCTATCCTACTGGGCCCCTTCCTGACACGGTGAAAGGTCACAGCACAGCAGGCCAGCTGATTGGCCCGACCCAGATACTGACCTCGCAGGTCAGACATTTCTCAAGGTCACCAAACAGGTCACCAAACAGGTCACAGAGCAATGCGACAGCCTAAAACGGAAAAGTTGATATCTTCATGGATGACTTTTAGCAAGCGTAACGTATTTGCAATCCACATAATTGAGTTAAGTATACAAACCATCACCGTGTTTTTAAAGTGGATACATTCCATTTTTACTTTCTCGTATATACGAAGTATAAAGAAAGTATTGTAATGGTGCACAAAAATAACTTGAAATTTTAACAATTTTCACCGTATTACATCTCAGTCCTTCATCACATCCGAAGTATAGAGGACTTATTTTAATCGGGCAAACATTATCAATCCAGATTTATCAAAATTAAGAGGTTTTATGCGTAATCCAGTCTGAAAAACTGGGCTTTGCAATTCTGTCTGTCTGTCTGTCCGTGTGTAAACACGATAACTTGAGTACCGTTACAGCTAGGTTGATGAAATTTCATATATAAGTATTTTATCAAAATCGTAGATCCGTATCAACTTTTGAGCGATTTCCGATAACCGGAAGTGGTATTTTTCCTACTTTGAAATTTTCAAAAGCCTATAACTTGAGTACTATTTCAGATATATAAACGAAATTTTATATATAAGTAAAAGATCTAATTCTCTACCTTCTGTTAAATTTTGAGTCATTTCCGTTGAACGGAAGTAGTAATTTACGCTACTTCCGATTTCTCAAAAAACTAATGTAAATTTTTAAAGTACTAATAATATTGCTCACTATTATGCACTTTTTTATTTAGCGTTCACTTGGTGTGCAATTCTTTTGTCTACGAGATTTTATTCTATTTTTAAAACTTTAAGTATTTAAAATGGATTAAAAATCATGTCTATAGCCCTAGTTCCCATCCCCTGTTATTTTATATAAAAATATTCGAGAAAGTTTAGGGGAGATCACTCCCGGTTAATTATATTATAACATAAGGGGCATGACACTTCCAGAACTATAGAAATGTTTTTTTTTTAATTAAACGTTTTAAATTCTTAATTGTTCTTACCAGAATAGAATCACGAAGAAGAAAATTTTTTTAGCACAAAATTTACGTAAACAGCGTGAGCATAATGAAGCGGAACATTAGCAATTTCTAAAGGAAACATTAATTACTTTTTTAAGAAATCGAAAATAGCTAAATTTGTGTGCGCGATTACAATATTTTCTCTATAGGCCTACTCCACATAAGAGAAAAAAAATTCAAAAGTAAAATTTAGGTTAATCAATAATGTGAGTGATACATACATCTCTAATCAAATCAGTAATGCTATACAGATGGGACAATATGCTAATAGAAGGATGTCCTAGAGATTTGACATGTCGTTATAAAGACTAGAGGCGTCTCCTTGAAGGTAGCAACAAAGATCTTAGAGGCGTCTCCTTGAAGGGAGCAACAAAGATCTTAGAGGCGTTTCCTTGAAGGTAGCAACAAAGATCTTAGAGGCGTCTCCTTTAAGGTAGCAACAAAGATCTTAGAGGCGTCTCATTGAAGGGAGCAACAAAGATCTTAGAGGCGTCTCCTTGAAGGTAGCAACAAAGATCTTAGAGGCGTCTCCTTGAAGGGAGCAACAAAGATCTTAGAGGCGTCTCCTTGAAGGTAGCAACAAAGACCTTAGAGGCGTCTCCTTGAAGGTAGGAACAAAGACCTTAGAGGCGTCTCCTTGAAGGTAGGAACAAAGACCTTAGAGGCGTCTCCTTGAAGGTAGGAACAAAGATCTTGTGCCTGGTGGTGTTAACACGAAGGAGGGTGTACTAATGGTGACGTCACAATGGGGTGGATTTGGGTCAAGGAAATTAACGGTAATATTTTTGTTGGGGGGTGTTGGGGTGTTAGCGTAAATACATGTGATTTTTTGCATCACTATTATCTTCAGCAATCTAATGGTTTGGATAATTTTATAACTGCGTATTTGACCACCTCTTGAAAATTACATCAGCATTGATTTTTATTAGTCTAAACGCCATTGATCATTGTGTAGCAAATAACAATACTTAAGTACAAAGTGTCGAGCACGTCAAATATATTGAACACCAGATAGCCTGAGCAAAATACACACCCCGAAGTGGGAACAAAACCCTTTCAAAACCCTATTGTAAAATAAAATACTTAAAAAAACTTTTTAAAAAACCACGTTTTTCTTGTGGACTAAAAAGTAGAAAATAAATTTTTCTTTTGTGCTTCCTCGAGCTGTGCAGGTTCTTGTGATGACTGACAAAAAACGTGGGTACGTTCACCATCAAATTTCCCGACCCATCTGCCCGACCCACGTTTTTTGTCAGTCATCACAAGAACCTGCACAGCTCGAGGAAGCACAAAAGAAAAATTTATTTTCTACTTTTTAATCCACAAGAAAAACGTGGTTTTTTAAAAAGTTTTTTTAAGTATTTTATTTTCTCCTTTTTAGTCCGTTGCTACACATGAAAAACGTGGTTTTTAAAAAAGTTTTTTATATAGTTTATTTTCTACTTTATCTAATGACTTGATTAAGTATGAATTGACTAAGTGTTTATAAATACACGGACTAAAAATATTGAGCGACCAGGATTCGAACCTGGGTTGTCGCGGCCACAACGCGAAGTACTAACCACTATACGATCACGGCCAGCGCGCTCACATCGATTGGGGCCGAAGTAACTGTGTCAATAGGCCTCCAGTCTTGTCGGTATCTTTAGAAATCATGTCCTCAATTTTATGGTCCTTGGGGCGTAATTAAATTAAGCTAATTACGGTCTCTAATTGCTAGTTTTTATGACTGCATCTGAAATTGTTAGGCGAAAGTAGCCTGTATGCCAAATTTCAGATCTCAAGAGCAATGAGAAGTGGGCTAATTTTCGATGTCAATTTTAACAACAAGCATCCAAACAACCAAACAAACAAACGCGAAGCTGAGTTAAGAAAAACGTGTTAATAAAAAAACGTGTTAAGAAATACAAAAGCGAAAATGGGGATGGATTGAACACAACTTGTGCTAAACAACAAACAACATAACCAGTTTGACACTATATTGGAATCGCTTAAGAAAAGAGGAAAGTCAAAACAAACCGGAAAAAGATCAGTTGTCAGTGAAGCAGAAACAGCTGGGATGTCGTGGACCCAACTTGGAGGAGTCGCCCAAAACCGAGTACGGCGGATAGCTGTGGTTGCGTCCCTCTGCTCCACAAGGTGGCCACATGAATGATAAAGATAAAGAGTTGGGCTAAGTTTAGATTTGTGAAGGGGTAGCTCCGGTTTTATGACAATTTGATATGATCACCCGGCATTGATATACAGGTCGGGGACTTATACAACTTTAAGCGTTAGAGTTAGACAGATCGGGGACTTATACAACTTTAAGCGTTAGAGTTAGACAGTTCGGGGACTTATACAACTTTAAACGTTAGAGTTAGACAGATCGGGGACTTATAAAACTTTAAGCGTTAGAGTTAGACAGTTCGGGGACTTATAAAACTTTAAGCGTTAGAGTTAGACAGATCGGGGACTTATAAAACTTTAAGCGTTAGAGTTAGTTCGGGGACTTATAAAACTTTAAGCGTTAGAGTTAGACAGTTCGGGGACTTATACAACTTTAAACGTTAGAGTTAGACAGATCGGGGACTTATAAAACTTTAAGCGTTAGAGTTAGACAGTTCGGGGACTTATAAAACTTTAAGCGTTAGAGTTAGACAGTTCGGGGACTTATACAACTTTAAGCGTTAGAGTTAGACAGATCGGGGACTTATAAAACTTTAAGCGTTAGAGTTAGACAGATCGGGGACTTATACAACTTTAAGCGTTAGAGTTAGAAAGATCGGGGACTTATAAAACTTTAAACGTTAGAGTTAGACAGATCGGGGACTTATAAAACTTTAAGCGTTAGAGTTAGACAGATCGGGGACTTATAAAACTTTAAGAGTTAGAGTTAGACAGATCGGGGACTTATATAACTTTAAGCGTTAGAGTTAGACAGATCGGGGACTTATAAAACTTTAAGCGTTAGACAGATCGGGGACTTATAAAACTTTAAGCGTTAGAGTTAGACAGATCGGGGACTTATAAAACTTTAAACGTTAGAGTTAGACAGATCGGGGACTTATAAAACTTTAAGCGTTAGAGTTAGACAGATCGGGGACTTATAAAACTTTAAACGTTAGAGTTAGACAGATCGGGGACTTATAAAACTTTAAGCGTTAGAGTTAGACAGATCGGGGACTTATACAACTTTAAGCGTTAGAGTTAGACAGTTCGGGGACTTATACAACTTTAAACGTTAGAGTTAGACAGATCGGGGACTTATAAAACTTTAAGCGTTAGAGTTAGACAGTTCGGGGACTTATAAAACTTTAAGCGTTAGAGTTAGACAGTTCGGGGACTTATACAACTTTAAGCGTTAGAGTTAGACAGATCGGGGACTTATAAAACTTTAAGCGTTAGAGTTAGACAGATCGGGGACTTATACAACTTTAAGCGTTAGAGTTAGAAAGATCGGGGACTTATAAAACTTTAAACGTTAGAGTTAGACAGATCGGGGACTTATACAACTTTAAGCGTTAGAGTTAGACAGATCGGGGACTTAGAAAACTTTAAACGTTAGAGTTAGACAGATCGGGGACTTATACAACTTTAAGCGTTAGAGTTAGACAGATCGGGGACTTATAAAACTTTAAGCGTTAGAGTTAGACAGATCGGGGACTTATAAAACTTTAAGCGTTAGAGTTAGACAGTTCGGGGACTTATACAACTTTAAGCGTTAGAGTTAGACAGATCGGGGACTTATAAAACTTTAAGCGTTAGAGTTAGACAGTTCGGGGACTTATAAAACTTTAAGCGTTAGAGTTAGACAGATCGGGGACTTATAAAACTTTAAGCGTTAGAGTTAGACAGTTCGGGGACTTATAAAACTTTAAGCGTTAGAGTTAGTTCGGGGACTTATAAAACTTTAAGCGTTACAGTTAGACAGATCGGGGACTTATACAACTTTAAGCGTTAGAGTTAGACAGATCGGGGACTTATACAACTTTAAGCGTTAGAGTTAGACAGGTCGGGGACTTATAAAACTTTAA